TGGTTATGATGGTTACATCGAGTGAAAGAAGACAATTCTACTTTAAGCCTTACAGATAACCAGCATGACTCAATGTGGCTGTCTTTATTTTTGATTTTTGTACTGAGTTTTTTTTGTTGTTGTTAATTTGTTTTTGCCCTTGGATTCGTATTGCTGTATTTAACTACTTTTCTGTGGGACTTATTAAAGGCATTACAGCATAAGTCAAAGTTTCTTTTTCTCCCTCTTTATGTCTCCTGACAATGCCTCCGGAGAATTTTAAATGCTAATTTTTTGCTGCAGTTTATTTTCCATTTACTCCAGCTAATCTGATCTGCATTTAAGCCTCACAGAACAATGATTACCAACCAACTGATCTCTACTTGGGAAGGGCGGCAGCAAAGCATTTAAAATCTGCTGACAGATCTATTTATGTTCACGAACTGAGTCCACTGCCTGAGGTCTAGGGTATTAAGTCACAATGAAAGTAAATCTCAGCCTTAATAAAATGTTAAGCAAATGCGCAGGATTTCCAAGATGCTCTGGCAGAGCAGCGTTAGGTTAAAGTAATCTTTTAATGTTGTCAGCATGCTTCCTGTAACAGTGGTCCAGTCAGAGCTTCAGTTTAAATCTGATACAGAATCCAATAAAATAGCTAAAGATTAGAGCGATGACAGGGAGGCTTTCAAAGATCATAGATTTGGAGCTCATCACCAAAGATGTCAAAATAAATGATCTGATCACAAGTCACCACAGTTTTTCAGTTGTTAAGCATTTTGAAAACCATTCAATGTTTTCCTTCTTCTTCAGATTAATGCCTTACTCTTCATCTATCAGTTAAATTCAATTGCATGTGCAAGGAACAATGTAGAATTTAAGACGCTAAACTTTTGTTTTGACCAGTAACTTAAACTCTGAGAGTAAAATCAGCCACACCCCAGACTCCACCAACAAAAGACCACAGGATCCAGATCGCTGACCTCAACCTGACACCCAGTCGAGGAAAGGCAACGTTATCAGGCTTGATACCAGATTGAGTAGGTTCAGTCGCTTCTCTGCTTCTGCAGTCTCAAGTAACTTTTATGCTGAAAGAGAGGCTCCTCGTAGCATTTGCTGCCCTGTTGTGCATTTCTTTCACTATTAATCATTTTGTTGTTAATGAAACCTCATCTACAAGCAAGATCACTGTGGCCTCATTAGACCTTTTCTTTTTGATGCAACATTGTAATTATTTCTGTTGTCGCTTGAGTGCTAACGAGCTAAATGATGATTATATCCTATTAGCAGCAAGAAGCAATTATCATTAGCTCTCACCGAATCACCTAATTATCTCTTTTTATATGAGCTTCAGTTTAATCATTTAGTCATAGTAATGAAATTTTTAATTCAAAAGGCCAAAAAGTATTTAATCACAGATAGTTTGTGTTTGTCTTTGTGTTGTTTTCATCTCGGTCTGACTTTAATGCCAAATTTGGCAGCTTCACACCCAAACAGTAGAGACTGGTTGTTCTCTTAGAGAAAGTTTCTGGGACAGGAAGTGGAGTCGAAAAGTTCCCGTGCAATCCCTCCGCAGATCTCACACGCCGTTCCAACTCTGTAAATGCTTCACTGAACCTCTCTGTGTTGCTCCTCACAGCTGAGAATGCAAACGGCTCTCAAAAGGAGGATGAGACTCTAATTGAGTGAGACAAGTGTTTACAGTCTCGAATCTCAACCGCATCCCCTCCTCTGTCAAACCCATCCCTCCTCCCCAAACTCCAGTAATTGTACTCTTAGATATACCATTTGGAACTGCAGAGAAACACTGCTTCAGAGGGATTGCAAAGAGATGAGAACTTGGCACCAGCTGCTTTTGTTGCCTAATGTAACAGTGTGACAGAGCAGAGCTAACGATGCTTCTCTGTGGATGTCTGCCATGGCAAACGTCTGAGCAGCTGGTTTCTCACCCTTTTAGTGACTTGTCACACTGAGCAGTGTTTGCTCTGGTTTTGCACAATGCTGTTTAATAATTGCAGCCACATTTTTTTTTGGAGTAGATTTTATTTAATTGCCGGGAAATTTGTTAAAACTATTAATCTCTTTTTTACAAGTCATACATATTTTCTGAGTTGAAAACAGTCGAAGCATGGAGGCAAATGGAGACTGTCTGCTCGCAGCTGTTTCTGCTAATGCAAAGCAAAACGGCTGTTGGCAGACGTGAGAGGGATTGATACTCTTGGCAAGAAAGCAAATGCGAGTATTTCTCAACATGTGAAATTATTTCTTAAATGTTAGATTACTGTTTACACCAACCCACCAGTGTAGTGGTTCACATGGTTCAGATTTATAGGTCACCAAACTGCGATTCATTTTACCCAGACGTAATCGCTGCCGGCTTCGTTCAGAGCCTAACCCAGTCGCATCCAACCCAGTCTGTTCTTTTAAGTGTCCTTGTGGTGCGATCCAATGAGTCAGATGGGCTGCTTACGCTAATGGCTTCCATCAGGCTGACTGGGGCTGGAGATGAGGCAGCAAAATTTGCGGCAACGCTGGCGCAGCGTCACCCTGGTGGACTCGAACCGAACCTTTGAGGCCAGTCATCACCTCAGAACTTCAAAGCAGCAGTTGGACAAGAGAGTCTGCGAAACAGTATGGGACTCAGAGATTAGGGCAACAAAAATCATGTGCAATTGAGGTTTGCTGTTTTTCTGTGGGCTTGCTTATTCATCTTTAACTTTTTATAGTCTGCTGAGAATGTCCGAGGTTAGTCCCGCAAACAGAGACCCCACAGAGCGAAATGCACAAGAAACCTATGAGACTTGGGATTTTTTTTTTTTTTTTTTTTTTGTGAATAACTTTTGTTTAATTTAAGGCTGTGAAATTTAAAAATTAAAAGAATACAAATGAGATCATTTTGCTTAGCTCATGCAAGAAGGCTCCACTTCAAAGAGAAAGAATCCCCATTATTGTTGCAAGGCTCCGGACCACAGGAGAGCCTCGCAGTGTTCTCTCAGTCCTCGAGCTAATTAAAGTGATCGTGCACCAGGACCGAGCTGACTGGAGTTTTCTCTCTATCCGTCTTTCTGTGTGTTGCGTTGACAGCATGACTGCGTGTTAATATGTGTGTCTGTTGTCACGTATAACTTATGTGTTTTAAATTAACAGCAGTGCCATGCTGATCTCGATGCAGCCCTTTTTAACTGTTAGATTCTGCCTAAAAGAAGACCTGGAAAGAATTTTTTTTAATTGTATTTCTACTTGATCTGTATTTCACCAAGAAAATTCCATTGAGATTAATAATATCTTGCAAATGAATCCTGGCCAAGACTGGCAGAGGACACAGAAAGATGCTGAAATGCCTTAAAGAAACGGTGCCACACACCACTTTTCTGTTATTATTGCACCAAAACTACACGACTTTGACGCTGGCATCTGGTTTTCTACACAAGGGGAGATGAAGACCCTCTTGCAGAGTCATTTGACTTCTTGTTTTCTAAATGCATGTTACCCATTATGTTCATGTTTGAGTTTAAATAGCACGCATTTTTTTAAAGCATACAAACCTTAGTTAAATTGAATAAATTTCTCCTCTGCAATCTTGGTTATAAAGTTAAATTTACAATCTGGTGTCTATGAATGAGGAAAATGGGACAAAATGGATATAATTGCATCAGTCTTATTGTTTCTATGCATTTTCATATTAGAAGTCATACATTGATGGTTTTGTTCTACCACCTCTAATTTAAGGTATGGATAGACAGAGTTGCTGTTTCAGGTTTACGTTACATAATGCGACTTTTATTTCGGTGCATTTTAGTGGTAGCAGTCTGCTGCCGCAACTCTTCTTCAGAACAACCTACAGATTCCCTGTTACTTGATTAGGATATTTTGAATTAGGATTTTGCAGGGTGTTTATGGGTTGTTATTATCTCACTTCCATTTTATAGCTCTTTCAATGACCTCAGTGTGGATAAAGACAAAGAAGTTGAGGCCACTGCAGATTAAACAGCAGTCAGAATGGGGTGCAGGCCAAAGCAGATTTCTGCCATGTAGAAACAATCCCAGTCTCAAAAACTTGGTGGTTCATGGAAACGCTATTTTATAAACCATTGCGCCACAGTCACATTTGATCTACTTGCTGGCATAAAAATCTATAGTTATATTATTTCCAATGAAAGGTTTGATAGGTTGCTTTAAAGGATTGTCCTATGTAACACATTTAATAAAATGGAGTGAGTTTTCTGTTGCTGAATCTGTTGCAAACATAATGGTTATGTTTTGTTTTGTTTAAATGATTTGATCTATTTGTGGCAATTTTCCAGTTTTCAAACTTTATAAAACTTTAAACTGGTGATGGATAGGCTGATTCAGACGAATCTTTAACAAGCATAATTAAAGGCATTCAGAATATTTTCTACTTTGTGGTTAAATTTAAATGAACATGTCTTCACTGAGAAATGTTTGTAGAAAAATACAACCAATCCATTTTCTCACTGCACATCTGATAATCTACAAATACAGTAAAATACTGCAGGTTACAGGACAAATGTGAGGTGCACAAACAAAGTCCAACTAAAACAGTGACGGTATATCTTGGGTAGATCCTTTGATAATTGGACATACCATGCAAATCTGTTTTTTAAGAACAAGAAGCAAATCTTGATTCTGATCAGCAGCATCTTTTGACACGGTTCTTTCGGTTTAATTGCCCTCCCCTCCCACACACATATACACGCCCCAAATGGATTGTTATTCCAGCAAATGAAATGATTGGGTGTCCTTTATGCATCTCTGTGCACAGCATGTACTCCTCATCCTAAAATCTTCTTTCTCTAATGTGTCTTTGTTGCCATCTTTGACTGGGAGGTTTCATCATGTCACACCCATAGTTGATCATAGAAATTATGCCTCTGTAGTGCCCGTCTTGCATTTGCAATTGCTATGTATTAGCATAAACTGACTTCTGATGCTGAAACAAAAGGGTTTGTATGGTGAACTGTAATTGATCCTTATGTCTCTCTGCCCCTTGATGAATTCCCTAGGTACTTCGTGGAGCTCAGTTGATAGCCGTTGCTTCAGCCGATGGAGGAGCCACGGCAGTAGAGGGGTCTGCCCTCCCACCTGACATCCAAGTGCAGTACGTGCAGCTAGCTCCTGTTTCAGATCACGCAGCGGCTGTGCAGGTAAAACAACAAATCAAACTCTTTTAGACTCTTACATTCATGTTCACAGTTTGTTCATTGTAGGGAAGCATTGCAGTTTGTAGACCTTAAAGTACATGCTGTAATATCTGAGGCTTATTCATAGCCTAATCTTACTTCACCAGACAAAGTTGCATACTGCCAGCAAGTTGATAGCAGTTGTGAAACAGAGTTACAATGACAGGCAGAAATATTGGAGTGTTTAAATCTCATGAGCTCTTGTGGCGTGATATCTCATTGCATCCCTAATGGGTGTCGAAAAGTCGCTGGTCTTTTCTGGTACTAAAATGGCACCATTCCAGCTTTCATCGTTTAAACACATTGGAACTTTTTAAAACTAGTAAGACCTTTGTTCGTTCCTCGTAAAACAAAATCACGCTCACGTAAGTCCCTTGTCTTTTACGTGTCTAGATCAAGAGATGTAAAAGAAAGCAACTTCACCAAATCCCAATTCAAATGGATGCACAATTTGCTTGTCAGGGTTGCTTTTCTAACCCCGACCAAGATCACAATAGAACAGTGGATCACAAAAACCTTACACAGTGTTGGTTGTTACAATAAAATGCTGACACGAAGCAATTGTTAACAAAACGACTGACAAAAAGAAGACTCAGAAAAGTCGTCATTTAAAGTGTCACTACGCTAGGCACACACATTCTGAGTAACCTTCACAGCTTTAGTTGAGCAGAAAGCTCTAAAGCTCTTCCCAACTGTTAGATTGTTATTATATAAGCAGCAACAGGAATCATACCTTGAAAGTTGTTGATGCATGAGAGTTTAAAATTGGCAATTTCACCATCTGATGTAGTTTTTCTAGACTGTTGGACAACCAGTAATTAAATTTAAAGAAGTACTGAGTCTCATGGTGTGATACAAGGGATAGGGTAGTAATTAGCAAAATGCCCCAAATCCCCCTATGATTGAACTGATTAAGCAACAACCACATTTTGGATCAGGATGGTGTTCAGGCGCATGGGGGCGAGCCTTTGAAGTGGTCATTTAAACTCTGCAAGAGATTTAAAGCAACAGCACAGTCCCATTGTTCTTTCTTCTTTTCTTTTCCCTTAATATACCAAGGATTGCGTTTCATTTTTCTTCTTGCTGCGGTGTCTTTCCCTTTAAATGTAAGCTCAGATGGTTCCCTTCAAGTTCTTCAATGAATGAACTCTTTGTTGCTTTGCCATTACATAAGCAAAAGAAAAACTGCAGATGATTTATGGCTGTTTGAAAAGGCTTTTTTGGTACTGATAAGAATCTCCTTGCATACCCAGATAATATTTACCTTTTTTTAAGAAATACAGACTCCAAATGTGTTGTCCAGCCATGCTTGCAAATTAGGAATTTCCCATGTAGGACCTCGCCCAGTTCATATGAGCCCCTTTTGTTGTCCTTCTGTTGTCCGTAGTTGGCTAGGTAATGGGTTCCATGATTTTGTGAGTGGGAGACAACTGAATTGATTGGGTGTTTTGGGAGTAGATTACCGTACTAATATCCTTTAAGTGTCTTCTCATCAAAAAATATTTAGGCTCCTTCAGCCCTTTCCCATTTTGTGACATTGCAACCTCAAACTTCAATTTACTTTTATTAGACTTTTAGTTTAATAAACCAACACAAGGTGGTGCACTACTGTTAATTAGAAGGAATAGCACTTTTTTTTATTTTTGTTTTTATTTACCAATCATTTAAACGCCTTTAAGTGACTGCCACAAATGTGGGAGGAAGGGATTGCCTTCAGAAGTCACCCATTTAAGAAATAAAGCCCACCAGTGTGTAATGCACTTTAAACCACAGTATAAATTTAGTTGTTCTATGAATGCCTCAGGGCTTTGTTAAGAGACCATTAAGGCACTTCTCCACTGGCAAGTCGCACTCTAACCAGTTAATGTGCGGTTCGGTTCTGCCCCAGTGGTGAGCGCCTCCGTTACGGTCTGTTCCGGTCTACTGTGGGCATTCATATGGGAATGTGGGGGGGCCGTGAACACACATCAGTTGTGGTTGACTCTTCGATGATTTTTGCGGCAACACTCAGCAATCGAGGACCAATAGTAAAAATGACTATTGGGGTAAAAATGGCTAATCTTAGAACTATACTGACAGACTGGGGCAAACCAATCAGAGAATCGACCAAGAGCTGGAGGAAGTGGAGAAGGCCACAGCTCAGTTTGGAGACTTTTTGAATCGGACAATTATTAGCTGTGCAAATCTGGCTTCTATGTAGGTGTGTTAAGAAGATGGTCATTGTCGAAAGAAAGTTGAATTAAAAAGTTCTTCTGGCTGTGTGCCTTAAGCCCCAAAGGGGGCAGAAAACATGGAAGAAGGTGGTTTGATCAAATGAGACCAAAATTTAACTTTTCTGGCGACAAGTTAAAAGCTTCATTTTGTAAATGAAATCTCCCTGAACACACCATTCCTGTGATAAAACATGGTGTTGGAAGCAACATGCTATAATGACTGGGAAGCTGGTAAGAGTTGAAAAATTGTTGGAGTTAAATGCAGGACACTCCCAAAAGAAAATCTGGCTATATAATAATTCATATTTGGGCAGATATTCACCTTTGACCAGGACAACAACCTCAACAGCACAGCCGGAGCTACAACAGAATAGTTTAGATCAAAGCAAGTTCATGTGTTGGAACAGCCCAGTCAAAGTCCAGACCTAAATATACCTAAGAATTTATGGCAAATCTAAAAAAACAAAAACAAAAAAAAACAAAAAACAATGCTATCTGTGAAATCTGACTGAGCTTGAGCTTTTTTGTAAAGAAGAAGGGGCAAAGACTTCAATCTGTGACTGGTAAAGCTAGCACAGACAAACTCCAAATGACATACAGCTGTAATTGCAAAGGAAAAGAACGTCATGCTTTTCAGATTTCCATTTGTGAAAAAAGAAAGTCTTTTTTTCTTCCGCTTCACAATTATATTCCACATTATGTTGGTCTATCACACAAAATCCTAATTAAATTCATGGGAAGTTTGTGGTCGTACTAAGATGAAAGGTGCGAATGCTTTTTCAAGTGTTTGTGGAGTGATCACAGACTGTGTTCCACCATCTCTGCTTCATGAAGTTTGGTCAAATCAAGCAGCTTGTTTGCATAAAAAGAAATATATTTTTCTTACGTGGAACTGGGTGCAGATCTGAATTGAAATGGATTGATCATCCATCAGTGTGTTTCAATACAAATGGGGCTCAGAAAGGCCGTGTGTCTGATAATGTTCAACACTTGATTATAAAGTGTTCACTGACAAAACGAAATGTAACCTCGCTGGAATCGGACCCAGAGCTATAACAGTTGTTATCAAAATCCAACCATTCGGGCAAGTTGATTGAATCTTTGGATGGACTTCATAAACAAATAGTAAACGGGTCAGTCGAATGTTTTAATGTTTTTAACGATGGATGGATCTGCCTACCTGGTACAGGGCATGTTGTTCTCACAGCTGGGTTCTGGTGTCTTACAGTATCCTCATTGTGGGTTAAAGTTCAGAGAAAGGTTAGCATTGTTCCTTAGTTCACCCTTTAGAGTACTGTTAAATCAGGAGACAGGCTCACATCAGTTTCCAGACATGTGGTTGCACTTATACAACTCACTGAAAAATTACTCACTCTGATGTGTTTGTCTCTGCATTTTCCTTTCTTTTTATTTGTTTCCATTACATAGATGAGAAAGGAGCTTACCAGAGAGATATTTTCTGCAGTCCAAAGGCCCTTTCTGCAATCTAGGGATTTTGTCTGGCTAGTATCTGACTCATGGTTTATTGTCAGCTTGACTGCGGGAAAAATGAGAACTTTAAGAAGGTTTTGAAATCCTGAAAAATAAGCCCCTCTTTCTAATTAGAAACTATTTGTCTTCTTCAGATTGACACCAACCAAGCACATTTCACATCAGTCAGTTTTTAACCAGTCACTGGAGATGCAAATATATGAAGGCACTTCATATTAAATTGCTTGCGGTAATAAACATATCACACAAAACTGTTTACACATGTTGAGGGTGTTGCAAACATACGTAGTACACACACAATAATCATAATTTTGTCTGTAAGGACAACATCTGTTCTTCAAATATTAACTTTTGGGGTCCTGAGTCATAGTACTTTGTGTTTTGCTTTGGTGCAGCTGGGTTCGAGTGATGGCTGTTGTGTAGTGACAACATGCTAGGCTGGAGGAAGGATTTTATGCTGCAGGTGTCTTTGAGGAAACGTTTGGCATTAGTTCAAGGAAGGAGTGAGTCATTCTACATGGTCTTCATCTAGGACTGAGTCATGAACCTTGATTTGATAAATAAATGCAAGATTTACCAGACGCTACCTTGGTCCGTCTGAAACAGATGCACTAAGCAGAGTTCCAATGCTCTTTTTTTTTTTTTTTTTTTTTTCCCCCCAAAACAATATTAATTTAGGTTTTTCAGGATTTCTCCGTAAGAAGAAACTAAAACATTCAAAAATAAATATTTCAGAGTAATATTTTAAATATTTTCAACTTCAATGTTAATATGTTAAGGAAGAACAAAATGAATATAGTTCTCTTTTCAAACTGTAAAGAACTTCTTATTAACCATGCTGATTATGAACATGTTAAACTCTGAGTGCACTCCTGAGAACGTAGATGTTCACTTTAAATATGAGATTTCCACAGAGTGAACATATCCAGCATTTTCTACAAGATGCTAAAAGCTTTAAATGATCAAACCAGAGAAACGTCACTATATTCTGTTCCTATTATCTCTTGAAATAAACTTTCCTTTTAAATAGCTTTTTTTTCTGTACTTCATCTGATTTGATTTCTATCTATGATTTCATTTTACTGCTGATGCTGAAAATAGGTCTTATGGGAAAAATGAAAGTGCAGAATGGGTTGCTCTCAGGAGCCTAAACTCAGATCTTCACGATACAGTGATGGGATGCCATTTGTACAATAAGTTCAGTCAAAACATTTCCTCCCTATTAAATATTTCACACTTGGCTGTTTGTGGTAATGTAAAATAGTGGAAGCAGACTTCAACCCAGGGCTTCTCGTCCAACATCAGCGTCTGACCTCAAACCTGCTAAGTTGAAGAAGAATGGCCACAACGTCTCATAAACATTGTAAACTGCCTTTCCAGATGAGCTGAAGCTGTTATATTGGCATTGGGTGGGGCTGACATCGGACTGAACCCTGTGGATGAGAAACGGGACGTCACCCAAGTTATGTGTATGAAGGCAGATGATCGAATATCTCTGGCAAATGCAGTGTTTCTGTTGTTGTTCATCTGCAGTTGTGTTGAGCCAATCTTCTGATTTTTATTATGCCTCGGATCTTAGGAGGAAATCTTACATTTGACTGATGGCGTCATTTTTCTTTTAAACCTTGATTATAAAAAATCCATCCCTAATTTTTCGCTAGAGTTGTCTTTTGTGTTTTTGCGCCGACAAAAACTTTTTCCCCCCCCATTGTTGGCACGTAAAAACTCTTTAAAATCTTTTTTTCTCGCCAAAGAAAATCTGACACATGGTCTCGTTTGACAACAGAACATGTGTTTACCACACCAACATTCTTTGTGCTCATCTGAGATGAGCTCATTTCCAATAAACGCTGAAAGTTTCTCCACATAATTACATATACATGTTTTGCTGCGATGTTGTTTAATTCATTTTCACGTTACGCCTTTGCGTAACGTAAAAATGATTTCAAAGGTGCTCCTGAGTCTCAAGGTCTGTGTTTCCAGCGTTGTAGAGCTTTTTTTTTTTCTTTTTTTTCGATTAACTGTGATCTTAGCCTTTATTTTGAATCAGCTTTGATTCAGAGCAGTATGCTACATAAATAATATTTTAACTGCAGCATCTCACTGTTTTCCTCATCAACAACACTTCCTCTTTCTGTTTTTTCCCCCCCCCCCCCTCTTTGTTTTACAGGCTGCTGAACTGGCACCGGCGTTGCAGGCTGAGATGGAGGTGAAAGAAGCCATCCAGGGTGCCATCCACGGAGACAATGGCGAGGTTGTCCAGATTGTCAGCTCTGTGGCCACCTGAGATCTCATTTGATACATCGCAGACCTGAACTCTGCCATGCAGCATGGCCCAGTGTGTCTCTGTGGAAAAGTTTGACAAGCAATCAAGCTAGAAAGTTTCTTAAGGTCACTGATGAAACAGAGAGAGAGAATTATTTCTTTTCTTTTTCTTTGCAAACTGCTGGATTTTTTTTGTTTTGTTTTGTTTTGTTTCTTTTTTTACACCAAGTGGTATACAGTGAGATGATATTTTGAAGAACTCGTTACACTCCCAGATCAACTGTGGTCATTGTTGCACTTTTATAACCAGAAGGACCTGGACTACTGTCGGGACATGGAGGGGGTTCAGTATGCTAATATTTCATCAGCTTTAGAAAATCTCATATAGTTAATATTTGGCTTTGCTTATCCTTACTTGCCCCGGTGCAAGCCAATGGAGAGGTGGATGTAGATAAGGACAGCTACTCTTTTTTTTTTTTTTCTTTGTATGAAATTGGATAGCTTGTCCTTCACAACAATTCAGTCCGCACTATGTCTCCCAGCTTTGAGCTGAACCTTTCTTGGCTTTGCCTGGTTTATTTTCATATCTCCGCAGTCTTAGATTTTTGTTTTCCTTATTTTATTTATTTAATTGTTACACCATGTAAAATTTGAGAAGCTTTAATTTTAGAGAAAACCATAAATGGAAGAGACAGCACTGGAGTAGACGGGACATAAAGCTTGTTGACATCCGCGGAAACCCTGAAGTTGTTTATTTGTCTGTATGACAGATCCACTTTTGCGAATAAAACATGTTTGTGGCCACCATAAGAACAAAGTGCTTTTATTTTATTTTGTTTTTTCAGTCTTTATCATCTCAATTACCATCAATTTGCCTTCAAAGTTCTAGTACATCCAGTGTGGAAAGACAATTGAAGTCTCCCTGAGTTGATCGTTTCGGTTTGAGGTTACATGTTGAGCTAATTTATCCTGTTTTTGAAGTATGTATGAATCATATTGGCTTCAGTTACCACAAGAATAGGCTACTGTACTTTTACCAGTCCTGACAAAAAAGAATGCAGCAAAATGAGCTCAGCATAGTTTTTGTCCAGAGTGTAATTAATGCTTCTCTTGTTATTGTTTATGAACTGTAATTACATTCCTTGAAATGCATTTCTGCTACAGTTTTGTACAAATATACAGGATGTGTTGTATTTGAGAGAATCTCCCCTAATGATGTATGTACAGTCAGACAGGGCAGCGATAAGAGAGACACTTGAAGACTGTATGTGTTGCTGTGAGCATGTTTCCCATGCTCGGTGTGATGTAATGGATTGAGGATGTGAACCAGGCGACAAAATGAACTTGATAAAACAACATCTTTGGTCTTGGCTGCTTTCTTTTGTTTCCTTTGAGTCTGGTGTAGCTGTCTCTCACTCCCTTTAAAAGCTTTCTTCGCTGCATCTGCGTTGTTTTTTTTCCACTCCCACTGAACTTGTGTTTTCACCTCTCTCCCCCAACCCCTTTGGAAGTCCTGTTAAAGTCCATTTACTCCCCTTTTAAAATTGTACGCAAAGCTGGGCTAATATTTCATAGGATGGTCCATGGGGTCTATGCCTTGCCATAGCCGAGTTGAAATGTTGTAGCCTTGCCAGAAAGCCCTCCATTAAATCTTGTTCTTGGAAAGGAAGAGACACGACTCTTCAATTTTACAACCCTTGGCCGAGTCCAGGAGCACGACCGGTTACTATGGTGAAAGGCCCTCTGCTTGGCTGCCTCTAAGAGAACCTGCAGAAAACAAAAATGAGTGATGGATGGAAAGATGAGGTATTTTGGAGAAGAGGGAGCAGAGTGATGGAGTGAGACTCTGCAGGTTGTCCTTTCCTTCCTCATGCAACGTGCATACTGCTCCCTCATACGCGATTTCAACTGCATGTCTAGTCTTGCTCAAGCTTTTAACGGGGTCAGATGAGGTTCCACAGGATATGCAGACGTGAGTGACCATATTTACTGGATTCAGAAAAAAATACATCTAAATCCAATTTTCTTTTATGCCAGAAAAAGTAGTCTTTTTTTTTTTTTCTTGTGCAGACCAACCTCCCCAGGACTACTGGTAGATCCATTACAGTCGAGTTACAAAAACAAAACACACAGAATGTTGGATTTAAACAAAAAAGAAAAACGGCTACCTTCAAATAAATTTTAAAGTAATCTTTACATTGAAACATAGTATGTAATAAAATGAAAGAAAACATGTGAGTCAATGGAAGCCAGTTGTATGACTTGACTTTGGAGAAACAGTCGATGAATTGTGGACGGGAGTCTTGAGGACCCAAAACAGACCGACAGAAAATCCTAAACATATTCAGGACAGGTGAGCAGAGTGTAAGGTTGGCGCTAGAGATTTAACTATCAGAGTTTTTTGATCCATTTGCAGTCCAGGGTCCTATAAGCCTTTGACCTGCCGATGATTCAGATTTCTCTTTAAGAACTATAATACAAGAGAAACTGCACACCTGAATGAACCACAACACAAACGACTGTAACATCGTTATTCACCAAGTGTCCAGACTGAGGACCCTCGTTATCAGAAAGACAAGGTTAATTATAGCTCTCATCTAATTCCACATGATTCAAGTAGCACTGTTTGCATAGTATCTTGTGCATAAATTACAGCGGTGGACACGAGAAACCAACTATTTTTTTTTTAACAGCCGTTCCCTCGGGGGGTCAAAAGTTCCCTCTAAAATATAGCACATTAAAAGATGATTTAAAAAAAAATCAGAATATCCATATTTTTGGTAAAACAAAGCAAGATATATTAAAAGATACTTTCGCTTAAATAAAATAACGCAGAGACAAAACAAAACATTTGCACAAATGTAGTTTTAATCTAATGATTTTATCTTCTAAGCTGATTCAAGCAGTTCTCATCTATCATTTTTATGCTTCATTAAATCATTCTCACCTCCTCTGCCCCCACGCCATAAAACAGAAAAAGGCTTTCTGTTTTATGGTAGTCATTGGTGACGCGTTAAGCCTATGTGTGTTTTTCTTCCACTTATTTGTTGTAGCTGCACATTCTTTTCTTTTCAGCACGTTTACACATCGCTGTCTACCTTCTGATAATACTAGCTCGACCTCACAGCAACTGCTCTGGCAATGAACATGCATTACGCATCACAGCTGACAATCACTGCAGGGATGCGAGGGCCTGATCACAGAAGCGGTCATACGATTGAAGATCAGTCTAATTGGATCTTGAGTGAGTGTGGGAGATAGCCATCTTTTGCAGGTAGCACCTGATAGCTCAGTTGCCAGTTTCAAAATGCATTTCCAGTTGAATGAACCACATATGAAGGAACAATATCATAGGCGGCTTTGGAACCGACGAGAAACTTCAGTACGAGAGAAGGGAGTCAGTTCAGTTGTTTATGGATGGGTGTAAAAATGCAGACAGCTGAGTTCTGGAAATAAGAGACGATGGATCAATGTGGCTTCAACGAAGCAAAGGAGAGTTGGAATGACTATTGGGACAACAAACAAGTCTGTGAATAACAGCACTACTGGGTGAAGAAATGGACAAAAAGAAGTGCACATACAAAACTGAGTTAGATACTGATATTTCTTTGTTTTCATTTGGTCAGGTGCTCCACGCAGTGATTTGAAATATTGAAGTTGTACTAAGCCAGAGAGGCGTAGTACAAGCACGAGGGCCAAGATGGTTATGAAGGATGTGTCAAGAGATGGTTTTGAATAAAAGACTGAGAACTAGTGCTGAAAGAGTGGCCCCTCTCCTTTGGCTACTTTGACTAGACCTATTTATGCAAAAATAATTTATAGGCCCTGTCAGACGAGACAACAAGACATTCATTTGAGTCCAAACATGCAGGGTACTTGCTCTTGAGCACTACAGTTGGACACTCCTGCAGTGCAGGATACTTCACTATTTGAGTCAGTATATTTCTTTTTTCTTTTTTTTTTTTTGGTTTCCAAGTAATGTATTTCCATCACATTGTAGTGCTCTTCATCTAAATGTAATCCATATCCTGCCATGAGTGATCCGCATTTAGATAAACTCACAGTGGTGTCCTTGCACTCATTAGTGACCGTGAATTAAGATGAACACGGGACTTTTTGGGCGGACGCGCACGTGAGGCACGCTGGTGACCGTGACACCTGGAAGCTCTCCTCCGACTTGGAGTGCCTTTCCTGTAAAAGCGCGCTTTAATTGAAGCTTCAAAGACACGGATGATAATTCACTCAGACAGCGCAGGGAATCCCTCGCCCTGTGAGAAGCCGTAAAAGTCAGAGGAGGGAGTATGGAGTCCAGCTGAAGCAGCCTGGATGGGAGGAACTCCTTCGGCTTTTTTGGGGGAGCAGATGTGTGAGAGAAGTGGGTTACAGGCATCCAGACAGCCGCTGCAAATCCTTCCCGGTCAACGAGAGCTCCCCTTTTTTCCAAAGCAAACTGTAAACTTGGCAGCTCGGATTTTTTTCCTTTTTTTTTTTTTTTTTTTTTTTGCATTTGCGAGATTTTATCGTCTGTGGTAAGTTTAATGTAAGTTGTGCGTTTTTCTGTCTTGCTGAATGATTTGTTGTACTTCGTGTCCTGGATTTGAACCTCCTCACGTGATGGGATGAGGAGGTAACTCTCTTCTCGCAGGGTGAGATGACTCCTGATTTGCTTTCCAACTGCTATCTGTGTGCTGTTTACCTCCGGTGCGGATTTCCAGTGTGTCATTGCGTTTTGTTTTACACTGGAAGTTACTGCACGTCAAAATACAAAAGTCATGCGAGGAGCAGGTGCAGCCTGTCCAGGGCAAGTTAAGATAAACATGCAGTGGGTTTAATAAGGCCACGCCTATCTACCTATGTATGTGTGTGTTTGTTTATTTTTTTACACTAACTTATTAATTGATTATAAACAGTGAGATTTTAAAGACTCCTTACAGACGGATTTTTTTTTTCCACTGACAAATGTAAACTGAGTAAAAACACAACTAGCTGATGAAGTTTGGATTTCAACTGTTATTTAGGTAAACACAACATTGGCTAAAGAACCCATGAAGAAGAACTGCCCATTTTGCTTTGCGTGTATTTGGGTTAGTGACCTCACAAAAGGCATAAGAATCAAATCTGTCATCTGGTATTAGTAAACACGATGTAGGGCAACAGTATTTTTCTTCAGAACTTTTTTTCCCCGTGT